ACAACATGGAGAAAAGTTTAGGGGGTGTGAATACTTTTTCCATGCACTGTATAATCCTTTCTCTTTCTTCCTTGTTTCTCAGCAAAGATGATGACCTCTGTATGGTGCTTATGGAAACAGTCATGGTACTGATGTAGCCCCTTTTTTCTCTATTATGTGCAGTTTTATCTGAGCCCTCCAGCCACCTGCCCCAAATGTCTATCCACTGTACCTCCAGAAAATCTTGCCTGGATTGCCGCCTTTTACCCAGCCAGCCTGCAAATGTCATTACAAGTCAGTAATCAGGAGAAGGTAGCAGAAAAGTCCTCATCAGCGTCAGCCTGAGATATAGATATGGGCCAGGTAACAAATGGCCAAATGCACAGGCAGCAGAGCACACCATCAATAAAGCAATTTCTTATGTCATAACAGCTGCGCTTTTCCTAAAGCCAACCTTTCAAAACTTTTCCCTCTGCAAATCGCTGCAGCCCTGCCATTACAGCCCTGCCTTGTGAATTTAATGGATTCCGTACAAATAATATTCCGCTATAATGGAAAAGGTTGAAGTCGCTGAAGACAGATGAAGTCATAAACATGTATAATTGAGAATCAAAGACCGATAAATTTTAAACTGCTATCCATTTTCTCTTTTTAGATGATGATATATGTCATTGCGACTGCAGGAAAATGGAAGAGATTATGGGGGAAAATTATAACAATAAATTTTCTAAACATACACCTTGATTATGCTTCGATTTTTTGGAAGGGTTGAGGCTGAGGGGAGGGGAGGAGGGGGTTTGAAAGAAAGCTGGGATTGCTGAAAGCTTGCTGGCTAAATAGCACCATAAAATAGGTTCCTGCTCTTTTGCCTGTATAGCGTAGGCATGCCTGGAGGTGTGACCCCCCTCCTTGCCCCCCTCTCTCTCTAAATGGGGGAAATGAATTGTGTAATTTATTGCAAACGTGCACACAGTGAGATTAGATCAGCATATCCCATCAAAGGAACAACAATCAATCAGCCTCTAGTTAACAGCTTGAAACACATAAACCAGGGCACCTAATGGCTTTCCAATTTAACAGATTGATAGACTTATCCGGTCCTAAGGGATGAATTAAGAAAACCGGGTACTTCCATGCAGGCACTGGCACTTTTGACAGGACCTTTGCCCCTTTTTTCAGCTCACTTTCTATCTTGTCTTTAGAATGTGAAGACAAGGTCAAGTTTAAAATAAAGACAAAGCCAGCTTTGCCGCTTTTGTTTATTATTTCCCCCCCTACTGTTTGAGAAGGCATGCTGGAGCTTATTTGTTATTCAGGTGAACCATGAGTGTCAGTGTGTCAGATGTGGAGAATGGGCTGATTTTAATGACCTGATTATCGTGGGTCATTTGGAGCTGTGAATTCAGGGCAGCTATTCAAAGCCACTTAACAATATCTAAATGTGACCTGAGATATCCGTTCAACCGAGAATGTAAACGAATGGAGCTTGTTGGTTTCATATCTTATTAATCACATAATTAAATTATGCAAATTCACATACATTTAATATATGTATTTTAAGTTTGGGGGATATCATCTAAATTAGCGTTAAATGATAAGATATAACCTTTCTGAACGCAGGCAAATAAATGTTTATATAGTGGTAATAACAACATTTACGTGCATGTAAGTTCAGTTAACCATTTCATTTGCATTTTATTATTTAGCGCAAAGGGGTTATTATTTTCCAGATGAAACTGAATTTTTTTGTTGTTGTGAGGCTAAAATTTATTTGAAACTAACCAGGATTCAGTAGATGAGCATGTGGTTTTATACATAACAGCCATCCATATTTATTGGCACTTTGTTACAGATGTTTTAAAAGCTTTAAAATAAATGCATCTTTTGATGGAGCAGCATAATCTCACCCTGAACATTATAAGAAACTTTAACCTTTCATTTGAGCGAATTTGTTTAGTAAGTAAAAATATCCCATTTTGAGGAATAATTATAAAACCACTGGTGCCACAAAAAGTACAAACTAGTAGCATCCCAACAATTCCTATGAAATAAATGTAAGCTCTTTAATTTCTGCTTTTAATTCTTAAGCTAATCATAGTGTTGGGTCATATTTAATTATTCAACAATATTTGCTGTTTCCTTGGGGTATAAATGAGTTGTGGTGACAAGAGGCCCACTTTCTTTAGCCAACCTTCAAAACTGGAAAGACAAGACACCATTCTATTCAAGTAAGGCAGATGTCTGTTGATGTTTTCTTTAAAATCCAATTCATTCCAGTGTAACAGTCTTATTCAGATCTGTTACAATCCAGTTTAAATTATTGGAGTCAGTTCAGAGTGCCATTATGTTTAAAATGCCAGTTGCATCAATTCTTCACTTTGATCCAGTTTCTCACCTTGAGTATATTGCAATAGAAAGCAGATCTTCCTTTTACCAGGAAAAACAAATCCCCAGCAAAACCAGTAACACCGGGAGGAATGCCTTGCCTTAACTAACTGAAAGAACCAAAGGGCAGAAAAAGGACCCAAACATTCTTTTTGCTAATATATCTCCTTGTACTGTACATGCACAGAAAGAAAGGAGCAAAGGCAGTAGAACAAGAGGAGTGAATGTGAGGATCCACCAGGATGTTCCCCAAACCTTTCACTAAAAGTAATCTGAAGTTACTTTTAATTCTGGTCATCTTGACCAGAATAATATATCCCATTAGGAGGGTTCTGTCTTTTTAAAGATCTACTAACCCAGAACCTTAAACCATAAATCTTATGTAACGTACCCTCAGTGTATTATCTTGTCCTCATTCATAAAGACAGCTGATCTTTCTGTGTCACTGCATAATTGAGGAGCTTTTGGTATCAAGGATGTTATCCTGAGAGAGATGGGAAAGTGTTACCCTAGACTCATTAGAACCTGATCAGACTGGAATGAGCCAGCAGATAAGGTCCATCTAAAGGACAGAGCTTCAGTCTGCCAGAAAGCCTTTGAGCCTAGTGATCCATAAATAAATAAATAAATTATAGAACCTTGGTTTGAATTTGCCAGGATGTTCACTGGTGGGAAAATTTGCAACTGTCTTAAACGTTTTTCCATTAGTTAATAATCCTTTTCTCCGTAGAATGACGGACGTCAGATGGTCTGGAAATCATCTTATGGACCAGATTCTCAGATTGATGAGCAGCAATAATCAAGTCTCTAAGGTCTTTCCTTCATTCCTGTCCGTTGTGTTTAAGGAGCAAACTGCCAATGCTCATGCTTTTATAGTGATAGTCACACTTAGCTAAATATAAATTATTCTTGTGCTGGCTGTTAATTTTCATCTGTAATCCAATATACATCAGGAATGTGCTTGGTTTTTCACACACAGACTTTCCATTTTTTCTCTGTTTCATAAATAATGACTTTGTGCAATCTTTTGGGTTTTTTTTGTACACCAGCGGTTAAATTTCAATATTTTAGAACCTTGTAAAGACCTGATCCTTGTTTTACATTCTGATATGTAAAACTCTTGAATTAGTTTTTCCCCTGCTGTGTAGGATTGTGACTCATTCCTTCCCACATGACACAGAAAATGGATTGAGATTCAGCTCACAGGTTAGAAATGAACCACAATTGATTACCGATAGATCAATAAATTGGATAGTGAATGGAGCCCATTACTAACCATTTAAAACTAATAGCACTTTAATTGCCTCTTTCTTCCTGCTTTTCACTCAGCTCCAGTGGAAACCCTATGCCATCTGACACGTAGCAGGATCAATGCTCCAAAACGAAAAGGATCTACTGTGAGAACATGGAAACACAAAACAGAAACAAGGCTGTCAAGCTCAACAATTATTTTCTTTACAGGTTTAAGACCAACAAATGCATTTTTTCTACTTGAGACTAGTATCCTCCTTGTTGACACAACTTTCCTGACCCCCATGTTTGTTTGGTGAACAGTAAAAGGGGCACATGACAGCAGAGTAAGTTCAGACATAATTGCCCCTGCCACTCAGTCCTCATGATGGGCACTTATCACTTATTAGTGTTTGTTTTGTCTCTCAGCTTCCTCTTTGTGTCATGGGGCAGTAAAGAGCACTATTACTGTCAGCTGCTTAGCATTGCTCATCTTCCTCTTCTAGAAGCTGTGAAAACTGCCAAACAGGAGGAAATCTGAGAAGGAAGTGGCTGAGATTTAGATTGATATAGTGCTTTGGAAAATGCATGTTTTGTCATGTTAGAAAAAAAAAGAACTTCAATGCATTGTATTGGTAGTTTATGTGATTATGCATGGATTGAAAAGGATTCACTGTCTTATTGTTTTTTAACCCAACATTTGTTCTGCAGCAACTTCTACAAAGAGTGACTTTAAAATTTGTTTCCAAAAAGTAAGAACTAGTCACATAATGTCAATGCGAATCCCAGATTTAATTGTAGAAAAACTACTAAAGCTGTTATGAGATCTTGTGATATGAGATCTCAATATTACATCACTACAATAGCCAAAGGGAAGTCTGTCTGGTAAAGTGAACGTTAACTACTAATACTAGCCTGGGAGGTAGGTTCCTCAAGCATGATATCCTGTTACATCTATGCTTTCGACTCTTATTTTGCAGTAAAAAAGTAACTAGTTCTTGACTTGCCCTTTTGTGTTGACAGAGATGATTAATAAAGACTGGAGAAGCCCCCATCACTTTTTTCATACTTTACAGAAAGAAGAATAGAAAACAGATTGACAGATAAGTTGTTAACGATTTATTGGCCTAACCATTGTGAGAATGCTGCAACTGGCTAACTGTTAGACGCTACCCTTGCTAAAGTTGTTTCAGACCTTTTTAGCGCTAAACTAAGTCTAGACTGCATTTGATCTTCTCTTGTTCAAAATCTGAGATAAACTGAGATTGGTCAAAACAGAAATAAGACAGTTCTACACTGATCAGGGATTTTTTTAAACACAATTTGTGATGTGTTAGTGTTTTACTTTGTTTTTGAGCATCAACATGGAATTCTTAGTTTTCTCCCAAATACACTTTGAATCTGGCTGCACGGTGGTGCAGTTGGTAGCACTGTTGCCGTGCAGCAAGAAGGTCCTGGGTTCAATTCCCGGCTGGGGGTCTTTCTGCATGGAGTTTGCATGTTCTCCCCGTGCATGCGTGGGTTCTCACCGGGTACTCCGGCTTCCTCCCACAGTCCAAAGACATGCCTGTTAGGTTAATTGGTCACTCTAAATTGCCCTTAGGTGTATGAATGAGTGTGTGCGTGGTTGTTTGTGTGTTGCCCTGCGATGGACTGGCGACCTGTCCAGGGTGTACCCCGCCTCTTGCCCATAGACTACTGGAGATAGGCACCAGCTCCCCCGCGACCCACTATGGAATAAGCAGTAGAAAATGACTGACACTTTGAATCTTTTCTAGTCTCGTTCTTGTGAGCAGAATATCATTTATCATCTCGTCTCATGATTTGGATACATTGCTACACACCTAATCACAGCTATGGCCAGTAATATCTAAACACATCTGCTTGAGCAAATAAGTATATGAACATACAATGCCATACTTTATGTCAGGCACAATGTATTGAATACTTCCTAATCATAAAATGAAAGAAAACTCATTGAAGACGTCCCTTCTTTTTCTCTCACGCTAAACATCCCTCAATCCCTTAATGGGCCTCTTAAAATTGGACTCTTAATACATCAAGTATCCACAGTAACCCCTCGACAACTCTATCTTCCTCACATCTTAACGCAGCCCTGCAGTCCTCAGGGCACACAGGAAAATTAACCATTTAATAGCAATAAATAACACAGTCTGACTCAAGGGGACCTCAAATCACTCTTTCTCTTAGACACTTGCACACAAAATAAGGAGCAGCCACATATGGCAGCTTAACAGCAAACAGTCCAGTCAGATCAGGATGGCAGAGGTGGCACACCATCTGTGACTGAGACTGTTTTCTCATTCATGTGTCAATGAATTGTGAAGGACATTTTTGTTTTATATAATCTAAGATGCTACAGTCTTAGTAATTGACACTATTTAAACTCACAATGGTACTTTAGAGAGAATTGGTGACAAATTCACTGCAGAAAAAGAGTAAACCTTTAAAAATGTAAAAAACATAACACAAAAAAACATTTCACATATTTAGTTACAATTGAGACCAAAATATGGATCTTAAATATTTTCATTCAACCAATAAGTTTGTTTCTAATTATAAATCATTTATATCTAAGCATAAATAATTGTTACCCTTGTAGAGAATGAAGCTTACACACAATGCATGGGCTGGCATCAGTAATGAGTGAACTGATATTCTTCATAGAGGAACAGTGTAGCAATAAATTGATTACTTAATTATATTCATGTAAAATAATTATATAAATCTTGGTAAAAAAATGTATCCTAATTGTGAATTTTATTAGTCTAAAATTAAAAACCGACAACACTTTATCAAAGAGAAAAATACAATATATTCTCAAAATGTATTAATTTGCATACTAACACGTCTATTGTAAATTGAATGATTACATTGTATCTAATCACTAAAAGCACCAATAATCAATCTATCTTCTAATCACACCATAGACTTAATTTATAAGTCAAGTGAAAAAAACAAGACATAAACACATAAATATGAAAGGTAAATTTTTTAAGGAAACTAAATATGAACGCTCAGGTTATCTTTAACTGATATCTCTAAAGGGTGAACTCAGGAGTTTTGTACACAATTTGAATTTTCTAAAAACCTGTCTTAACTTTGAGGCAAACTTTGAAAGAATTCAGCAAAGGAATTTAACTGGAGGGAAGCCTTTGGGGTCAAGCAGGTTCTGAGGCCCCAAAATAACCTGAGATAAATTGACAAGACTCCTTACTCCTTGTTTGTGAAACCTGTTGTCACGCCAAGGCCGAAAGAGCAAGACTGTTATTCTAAAGAGTATTATTTTACACATATTGACATACATCTTAGAAACAGTCTATTACAGCAGTTTGATATTCATAAACATTTCATTTAGACTATCTCAAGAGCACAGATTGTGGAATAAAAGATTATTAGTTCAATCTAATCTCACCTGAAGGCCTTTTCAACTGCCTGTGTCAGAATAGTGAAGTGTTTATAGTTGTGTATGAATAAGCATTAATTTTTCATTCCAGTTTTCATAAAGTTACACCATTCTCAATATTTAGTGAAAGTCAGTGAAATCAAACCCTTCTTATAATTGCTAACCAGCATTTTGCATGTTTTCACTGGTATTTTGATGATTTACCAGTACTGAGTTATAAGTCTTTGAGCTTGGAAGGCCTCCTTGCCATTACCGCAATCTTTAGCTCCCTCCACATATTCTCTATTGGTTTGAAGTTGGGACTGAGGATGGGCCACTCAAAAATCTTGTCATTACTTCCAATCAGAACAAACATGTTGGAAAAATCAAAACTTTAATACTTTAAACCTTTAAACCTGCCAGTGGTATGAAAACATCTGGGCTTAATTTTAACTCCATCCAGTGCAAAAAGTATGCATAGCGCTTGAACTTTTTGCATTTAAAATATTTTATTGGAATTTTATGTGATTGAACAACACATAGTGAGGCATAATTGTGATGAACAGTGTTTCTGTCCATGCTGAAGAAAATCCTTCCCACAGCATGATATTGCCATCGCCATGTTTCACAGAGGAAATTGGGTTTTAAGTTTAATGTACAGTGTTATTTTCCACCACATATAAGGCTTTGAATGTAGGTGAAAAAGTTCAGTTTTGACCAGACCACCCTTTTCCAGTGCACAATTTTATCCCTGACCAACCTGGTGTTTTCCTTGATCTCCTTGATGCTGTTTGTTCACTTACATCTTTTAACAAAACTCTAAGGCCTTTACTCATCAGCTTTAGTTGTACTCAACAGTGGAAAGGCCAGTTTCATTCTGGCAGCCATATCAGAAGTAGTAGTGATGTTTTTTTTTTTCCAAGGGTAGGTTGTCTTTAAAATTTCCAGTAGAAAACTGCTACTAAGCTATAAGCACTGAAACCAGGATTTTGTTTTCTGTAATGTTGTATTGTCATATTGTGGATTTACTCCACTTAACTGATATCTATTCATTATTTTTTTTCTGTGAAAAACATTGTTTTCAGTAGAGCTTTCCTTATATTGCACATGCGGCGCTGGATTTTATATTAGTCCAGATGTAGCAATGATTACTTGTAAAATCCCAAGCACAAATTAAATCAATACTTTGTACTCTGCGACAGAATTGAGCTGCCTACCTGTACGCACTCAGGGAAAGGAGACAGTTACTGACCAATTGATTTGATCTGAAGGAAAGGGCATTCATTTTCCCCACAGCGGAAAGACCTTGACTGTAAGTCTGGCAATCACTCCACCATCTTACCCCCAACGAAAACTGCCTGTAATACCCAACTGTGTCCTCAATCTCCACTCCAATAGGCCCTTGTATGCAACTCTTCCGTCAGCGGCGTTATGTATTCGGCTTTCTATTTCACTTTAATAGGGGAGAAATTGCCAACATATTCTTTTACAGCCCCCTGGTACCATTAGAAAGCCACCTGTCATTTGGATTATTTATGAAAAACTATTTCATGCTTACTTACATTTGCTGCTTATTTTCCCCCAGTGTGACCTGCAGGAGATTTAGTTCCATTTTGAAAGCCTTAAAGCCAATTCTTTATGTCTGCAGGTCAGCCTTCTCAATTGAGTTGAGATTGAAATACTAGTGTGTAGTGGGAAAAGTATGAGAAGAGGAAACCAATAGTCTTTTAGTGTGTAGAGGGGCTGTAGTAAAAACAAAGAAAAGGGGAGATAGTGAAAGAGGTGAAACAACAGAGGGGTGAAAGAAGGTGATTTCAGGTGGATATGGAAGGGGAGACGAGGTAGCTGCAGAATTATGGAGCAATGCAAATGCAGCAGTAAAAGTGGAAGAATGAATGGCACACATCCGGCTGCTCCTGAGCAGAAACGGTAAGAAAAAAAACTGAGTCAGCAAGTTGGCTTTGAAAGTAAAAAGAGAGGGGACATAAAGCAAAAGCGGTCTTAAATCTGCAAGCTTTTATATTTCATCCAAAAACATGTCAAAAACCCTCTCATGCTTGGTGTTTCACAAGGACAACAATGATAAAATCAGCTGCTTGTTTTTCCCCTTTGAGTTGACTGCATTTGTACTCACAACCATGTCTGTGCAAAACTGCTGAAAAGCTTGAAATGTTAAGATATAAGCTACATCCAAATAACGTTCCTCACCAAAGAGACCCACAGAGCAGGCAAATCTATGCACAAAACACTGACACATGTATTTGTTGTGTAAATTCTAATTGTTTTTCTCTCTTATCCTGCTTTCTTGATGCCAACTTGCATGTCTAATATAAGCGTTAAAATTTGTTTAAAAAAATCTTTCTTAAATGATTTTGATGACACATGTTTCTTGCATTTGAAACAATCAGAAACGCATTTTATCTAATAGTAACGTGTGTTACTATTATTGTGATAAAGGAAGAGGAAAAGCATTTAGTCACATGACACAGAGGAAATATCATCAGTCCATAAGCAAACATCATAGATACACCAAAGATCAGTCCCCTCTTCTATATTTCATATTTTATCCAATCTTCTCAGTGTGTCACTCTAATAAATGCAGCCATGTTTTCAATATTATCAGAGACAAGTTTATTCAAAGTGTTAATATTTATTGACACATAAAATCAGTCTGTCTGTGAAATCATCAGGGACATTAAATTCTGCATCTATTCCTGATTAAAGATAACATTAGTATCAATTTTCAACACTTATGATCTGCAATCAGTAGGAATGTATCTATTTAACCCAGTTACCATGTCATTTTTATATTAAAAAAACTTCAATTACTTTCTTAAACCTGTTGTCCTTTTGATCATTTTGAATGGCTTAATGCACCTAAGCAAATATTTTGAATGCAAATAAAAAGCAAATGACTATTCAAAGGTTGGAAGAGCTAGATTTCAAAAGTCAAGTCTTATGTGAAATTAAATGTTTAATCAATTTTAATCCAACTTTTAATTGAATTCTTTTTTAAGATTAAAATATTTCTTAACCAGTTTTTTGTTCATCTACTTTTTCAGTTTCCTGAGTAGGGTTGCACA